CGGGGCCGCGCCCCTGCCACCCCGCCTCTCCCGCGGACTTCCGCGCTCGGCTCGCGCGGCGGTTTGCCGGCCGGGGGCGGACGGGGAAGCGAGCGCGGGGGCAACGATCGATTCCACCGCGGGGCGAGGTGTGGGTTTTGCCTTTGACGCTCGCCGGGGCTCAGATCTGCAGAGCCGGGCGGGGCGGGGCTGGGGGCGAGGGAGCGGCCGCGGGAGAAACGTGGTGGCCGCAGGAAAGTGCCTTCGGCAGTGCTGGAGGTGGGGGCGGCTCCGGAGCCCCGCCGGCACCCTCTCCCCGGGCTCGCACGTAGCTCCCGCCCGTGGGGGCGCGCAGGCGTCGGCGTTGGCCGCCGAGTCCCCGAGACAAAGGCTTCCGGGAGGCAGCCCTGCGGCGAGCGCGCGGCGCTGCTCCGGAACGCGGCCGAGCCGGACGCCCCTCAACTTTGCAGTGGCACCAGTGACGATCGATCGTGTGACGGGCCTGTAGGGGAGAGGCGTGGGGACCCTCACTTGGCAGGATCCCGAACTTGGTGGAGCGATTACCAAATAAGGAGCGTGCGCGCCCGGGCGAGGGAGGAAGGAAGGAACCCAGTCGTCCTTCGACCCGCGCCAGCTGTCCGTGGTCGCAGGGAGGGATGAAGAGGGGGCCTGGGAAGGTACCCTGCCCCGGGGTGTAAAGTTGGCTTTTGATTCCCAGGGACACCACCACCACCACCACCGCACACACACACACACACACACTCGGTTGGGGTAGAAAATCCCCAGGCATTGCCTCCAAACTTAAAAGAAAAGAACCACACAAATATAACAAGAGGGTTCCTACATTCCTAAGCGCGTATTGTTGGGGCCCTGGGGCACATGCTGTAGCCCGCCTGCATTCTGCTTTCTTTGTGAGTCCCACGCACAAAACCTAATAAATTCTGTGACACGAGGCCAGACTAACATCTGCTGTCACCTTCCTTTTAGCTACTCGTCCTTTCTTCTTGGCCAGCCTCTCCCTGACAGCGCTCTCTACCCCCACACTCGCTGTGCTTAGGCCCTCTCATTGTTCATCTTCTGTCGCTGTAAAATGTCATGGGCCTTCCAAGGATCGTGTAACAAGGAACATTTTTCTTTGCGCCCCCTGCAATAATGGGATAAATGAATAAACATGCCAAATTATGCAATGCCAGCGGTAGGATCTGAGCCTGTTACTTTCCTACTTATAGGGGTCTGCGTAGCTTTTCTTGCTTTGTAAGTGATCTGCCTTAGTGAGTACTCAGCAAGCGCTCTGTTATACAAATACACTATTAAGTGCAGGAGAGGGAAAGGAAGAGCTAGAATGATGTGTTAGAAACAGCATTTAATTTGGGGGCGTTAACCCTACTGAACCAGTTCCATTACTACACAGATTAACCTAGATAAGGAACCCAATTATAAAAGAAATGCTGGTTGCCTTCCCTTCTTCAAACTGGATGAGCATATGTGTCCTTTATATAATGGAGGTGTTCGTGGAGCGCATACTAGAGGGATTCGCTCTTGCATGCTCCTAGGGCTGAAGTGTGTTGCTGGGGGTGGGTGGGAGGAGCTGGGGAGTGGTGAAAAGGTAAATTTTCTGGGTGGGGAAATCAAAATCTGAGAATCGGAGAGATCCTGAATTTTGCCTTCTGTCCGGTGCAGGATAATTTCTTCATTATCCCTCGGGTACTTAACTACGTCTGCATTAATGCTTCTATGGTTCACACTATAGTCGTTAAGCAGTTTTGGTTAGAGAAGTTTTTATTCACCAGTCCTATCTTTTCTTACTTTTTTGTACTGAAGATTGAACCCAGAGAGTGCCGAGCTACGTCCTCGGTGCCCCCTACTCCTTTTTTAAAGGTAGGGTCTTAATAAGTTGCCTAAGGTAACTTTATACTTGCGAACCTCATGGCTCAGCCAAGGAGCTGGGATGACAGGCATGTGCCGTCAGGCGCAACTCCAAGTCTTCTTTCATCTGTCCCTCCTGCCCAGTAGTGCATTCAAAGTAAGATTATCCACATAAGTACCTAAAAAGAACCTTAGTTTTAAAAAAATAGCAGCAAATCTTCTCTAAGCCAAATTTATGGCTCAAGATCCTTTAGGGTGCAAGTGACAGAAATACAAATGAATCTATGCCCAAAATACCCCCCCATAAAGGTATCATTGGTTCATCTAGCTGGAAAGTCTGGGGTCCACACAGGCTCAGTCTTTATTAGGAAGTTAGATTTTTGTTGTTAGCTTTACTCCTGGTGGGCTTTTCTCACATCGTGGCCATTTACATCAGGGCTGTAAATTTACATCTTAGAACCCCGTGGAAAAACAATTTCAGTTTTACTAGAAGTTCTAGCAAAATGTTGGGGCTGAGTTTGTTTATTCTAGATGGGATCCCCTACCTAATGCCTCAGGCCAGTCATTCTGGCCCTGACTCATTACTGGAGCCTAAGTGAGGGTTTGACCAAGGTGCTTGGGTTTAGAATAAGGAAGGTCATTGCTCTGGCCAAATAAAAATTAGATTGTTCCTGCTAGAATGGGGAGTGGGTGCTGAGCAGGTAAAAACAACAGCCGTGTACACTCTGTTGTGAACAGAAATTTCTCTACCATTATGTTTTCTCAAGAAATGCTGTTCAGGCCTTCAGCAGGGTGGCTGTGTTCTCTGGGTATATTTCAGGTTCTTAATATCAATTTTAAAAACTATATCTTAAATTACATATGCTGTTATAGGTTCGATTTTAGTAACATAAAGCCCCCAGTATATTGAACACACATGATTTTTGGTGTTTTATGTAGATGTATTTAATTGAAGATTTTACATTTTATTGCAATACAAATTCTTTAAATTATACTCACACAGATAGCATAGCAGATGGTAGTAGCACTTTTAATTATTAGTGGAGAGAAAAATCTGGTGCCCCAGTCAGTATCATTTAAACAGGTGGTAGAACAGTCATAGATGTCACTCTTGTTTTTAAAAGCTACCAGGAATTGGTTATAATCCATCTGGACAAAGTTGTTTCTTCCAAATTGTCACCTTAAAGGAAACCATACTTATGGCTCTGCTTTTTTTAGTTCTTTATTCAGTTTGGAGAATGTATAATTTGAAAACAGACTCCTGGGTGTGATGGCACATGCCTATAATCCCAGCTGCACTGGAGGCCGATACAGGAGGATTGCGTCAATTTAGCAAGATTCTGTCTTAAAGAAAGGAAAAGAGAGAAGAACAGACCGAACTGATACATATTCTGTCCAGCTGAACTTACTCTTTGATGCTCCTGCAGGTGCAACTCCATCCTCTCTCTTCCTTTTGATTGACAGCTTGTGAACCAGGATTTGCTTTAATCTCTACTCTTGGTGCCAGATGTGATCGCATGGAGCTCCCCGCAGAGGAGTGCTTACTTTTTAGTGTGGGTAATTCCAACAGAGCACAGTGAAGGTGCTCACAGTGCTGAGGGAACATAGAGTAGGGAGCTGTCCCAGTGCAAGGCTTCAGAGAGGGCTTCCGGGAGGAAGTTAATCCATGCTGGGGCTCGATGTGTGAGCTACCCTTGAGAATGAAGAATAACCAATTTGTGCCGAAGAAACACGTGGGTGAAGACTGGAGATGAGAGGGCGCATTTGAGGAACGCAAAGATGTCCTGTGTAGCTGCAGCCTAGAGTCCGAGGGGTAGAGTGGAGAAGGCTGCAGCTGTACACAGAACACAGCCGGTGGGGGACCTAGCAAGCAAGATAAACCTCAGCTCCTCTCACATCCTGGGCTCCTTAACTTTCACTACAGTTTACTGCACTCAGGTTTACTGGCTCCTGCATGTGACCCGGAAGTGATCACTATGACCTGAGGATATTAAAATCGCTCCCCCATCAACCTTCTTCCCCCACTGGACTGCAGGCTCCTAAAGGGCAGAGAGTATGTCACTTCATCTTGGGGTCCCCAGCTCCTTATTCAGAGCTGCCTCAAGGGAGTTAGGCTTTTTCTCCTTAGCTACTATAATTTTACTATGCTCTTTCCCTGCATGGAACACCCTTTCACATTTGCCTGCATGGCCCACCCCGCCCATGTGACCTCTACTGAGCCCTCTGTGGCCCCCACATTGCCTTGGACCCCCATTCTGAGAGTGTCTGTCACATTGTTGTTGCTTCTAGGCCTTTCTCTGCTCTCGAGTGTGGATCTTGTGCCATGGACCTTTTGTGATTTTGGTGCCTATGAGGACCCTGTGAAGAAGACCCATGTAAACGGCATCGGGGTCAAAGACAAATGCTGCCTTCTTCCAAGTGGATGTGGAGAGCAGGAGTAGGGGAGGTAGAGAGGGAACAAGGGGGCACTGTAGTGCCCTCCACATCACCAAGGTGTTTGCAGGAAGAGGAAATCATAAGCAGTCGTGGGCTGGGGATTTAGCTCAGTGGCAAAGCGCCTGCCTGGCAAGTGCAAGGTCGTGAGTTTGGTTCCCGGTACCGGAGAAAAACCAAAAAAAAAAAAAAAAAAAAAAAAAAAGAGTCATAAGCAGTCGTGACGAACACTATATGAAGAAAAAAGAAAATAACCCTTAGATTCATATGTGCTAGATGAAATATAGACACGGCAATCACAGAGATTTCCTTTTTCTCTTTCAGGTGATAATGAATGTGGATCATGAAGTTAACCTCTTAGTGGAGGAAATTCATCGTTTAGGTTCAAAAAGTAAGTATTCTGAGTGCTGGGATTACAAACACGTGCCACCACACCTGGCTCTTTCTTTCTTTCTCATGCTGAGGTTGAATCCAGGGTCTGACAATGCTAGGTGAGTGCTCTACCAATGACCCCACCCCTACCCTTTTAAAAATTTCGTTTTGAGACAGAGTCTGTCTGGCTTCAAACTTGCCATCCTCCTTCCTCAGCATCTGGGTAACTGAGATTATAGGCACACACCACTGCACCTGTCTTCGATAGAGTATTTTTTCTAAGTTTACCTCTTAGGCAGAACCAGCATTGCGGGGAGGCCTACGGCTTTAGGACACAGTGGCAACTCTGCCTACAACCCTAAGGACACCTGGAGACATAGGACTGGGTGGGGACCTCTGATTGCTCAGGCAAAAAACAGTTGAGATGTTTCATTATCTTTCAAATGGAAAGGAAATCGTGGAGCTTCTCTCATCTGGTTGCAATAAAATCTGATAATTTAATCATGTTGAAATTTTTATTTGTCACCCTATTAAAATTAGGGTTTTCTGCTTTTATCCTGGGACCATTTTGCAAACTTTGAAGTGAGTAGGGTCTTAGATTGAAATTATTCTAAATTGTCTTTATTTTTGTCTGAATTCTTGGCTTTTGTACAATTATGAATATATAACTAAAATGTACCATCTTTTAGGTGTTTTTTTATGTCATTTTTTTCTTCAACAACAGTGCAGCTCTTGTGAAGACAGTGACATATAAATTTGATACTATTAGTCTCTTTTTCTTATATTGTAATGGGAGTTACTATTTTAGTGTTAGGTATCTGACACATCTTAGACAATATAAGCAAGAATTTGGGGAGCATTTTGAAAATAATAACAGTAGATACATTCAGCCACAACTTGGATAATGGAATTCAGAGTTTTAAAATTACTTCATGTAAGTGAAAAGTAGCTCTAAGAAGTACCTCACAGCAGTTGTTTTGTCACTCTAGCTTGATGTTGCTTATAGCTATTTGTTGATCAATCACAAATCTTTTGCAATACCGACACACTCTGAAAGTTCAAAAAACCATTGATTTCTATATTAGTTCTTCTATTCCTGCTGTAATAAATTGCCACAAACTAGGGGCTGGGGATTTAGCTCAGCGGCAAAAGCGCCTGCCTGGCAAGCGCAA